ATATTCAATAAAAATGATTTGTGCTCTGATTTTTTACCCTATTTATAGGAGGAAGTGGATGCTATTTTTGTGAATACTATTCTCACTGGTATTTAGCCTCTCTAAGGTCAGACAAACATATCTATAGGATTTGATGGAGAATTTGTCCCCGTGTGTTGTCGTTTTCTCCCCTGCTCGCTGTCTTCCTTGCGCAATCCGTTCGCTGTAGTTTCTTTGTGATTCTTGGATGTTTCTTTCATGGTTTTGAAGTGGCATTCTTCGTCCAATTTGTGTGGAGCTGCTTCATGTTTAAAGGTAAATTAGGTCTTCCAATGAAATTCTCTCCACTAAAATATGATCACCAGATTGGCCTACCTATGTATTCCCACTAGATCTAAATTTAGTGATTACCGAACACTGTAACCATGTAAAAGTTTGTGATTATTGAATGGATTGCAATTTTTTCTTGACACAAGTAATTCATTACAAGATGTAAAAATGTAATGTTTCTCAATTTGTGCATATCTTTCCTCTTGATGAGAAGATTGAGAATATAAATTAGCAATAGCGGATATATTGTGGGCTGAAGAAGTGAGCTCTTCTGCTTTCAAAATCTCGTTCTTGCTCTCTTTGCCTGGTCCAATTTTACCTGCACATACTATTTTACTATTTTAGCTTTAATTTAAAACCGTGATATTTATTATCTTCTAAAGTTAGAGAAAAGATCATCTGATAAAATTGAGGATATATTGATTACAGTGGATGCTCCTCCGCGCATAATGCCAATGTCATACACGACACTAAATCTGGCCAGAATAGCCCAAAATTTCTTTCGGCCATAGAGCCTGTTTTCTGATTCTCATTGAAGAGTGCAAAAATGTATGTCTCGAATTTCATTCTAGGCAACAACGGTGTCCCCTTTTTTTTATGCTAAGTTATTTTATTCATCAAAAGGCAACTCTTTCTCGATCTTTATGATCTTGTGCTTTTTTTGTTGTTGTAGAAGATGAGCAGAATTATGTGGAACTAGAGGATAATGGCATAATGCTTCAGGGCTTTTTAATGGAAGGTAAAAAGATTAATTTTATGTATCTGTCTCATGCTATAAACTTTCATGACCATTTAAGAAATTAGTATATTTAGGAATCACCTAAGATACCATCTCTATGATATAAGTGCTTGCAGTCATTTTGGTCCTTGTATTGTTTGTCCTAACAATATAAAAGAGGCATTGTTGGATATAGGCTGCTTTAAGAGTTTGTCGAAAGGAATGGAAATGGACTAGAAGTAGTTTATTCTTTATCCGGCTGGTTGAAGGATAATCCTTCAGCTTACCATATAAGGCTTGTCTCCAAGCATAAACTTGCTGGTTTCGTTTGTTATCCGCACTCTCTTATCTTAATTCCTTTTATAATATAAGTTACGTGTATTGATTTATTGCTATTTCTTTATGCTCTGGCTTATTTTTTGTTTGCATCATTATTAGCTGTCTTAACTCTTAATGCAGGAATTTGATTCCTCGATTTGGTCTTTCTATGATGTAAGCTTCTACAGATTCATCATGACTTAGATGGATCCTATCAAAAACACTTATCTGAGGGCAGGAAAGCAATAAAGACATCTTGACGATGATTTGGCCTTTTATTGCCCTACAAGAACAACATTTTCTTCCTGGTAACTTGTCCCAAAGAAAAAAGAATCATCCTGCATGATTACTTTTGTAATTTTTCAGCTGTGTATTGAATACTCATGAGCAACTTTGATCATTAGATACCACAGCTTGGTGGCAGAATTATAGATTTTACTAGCGATTAGCTCTTGAATGCATAACCTTGTGTATAAATTATCGCGTCTTTCTGTTAGCATGTAAGGATTGGTGGTCATGACAATCTTGCTTCTATTTTGCGAAGTTTTACATGATTCATTTGAGGGAATAATGTCGAAGGAAATACTTCTGCTTTTCAAGAAACACCTGTTCTGGGTTTTAGTACGAGCTATGTTTCCACTTGGTGACACCTTGTTTCCAAATCAAAACTGAAAATCTACTTTTATTTGATTCATGTACAGACTAGAATTTGATGGAAGTTGCTTGGTTCAGGTCTACAGTGTGAAAGCCTGCATTCCCAAGGATCCAGCAGTGCTATGGAATGCTGAGTTTGTCCAACCAGAAGATTTCTCTAGGCAGCCACTCACAGTTGATAATCGTTTGAGAGATAATAGGTACAGCACTTTGTATAGTGTCATGTATATGACGTGCTCAATATTTCTATATTGAATTATACATTACCTTCTTATTTATAGATTTACTCTCTTTTAGCTACCNATTTCTATATTGAATTATACATTACATTCTTATTTATAGATTTACTCTCTTTCAGCTACCAAACTTGCTCAAAGTGTTATTATTAGTGGTTGTTGATTTGAAGTAAGGTTTATTAAGTAGCCAATTAAGCCGGTAGCACGTGCATTGCACGTGCGTCTGACTAGTATACTTCAAAAGATTTTGTAATGTCTATTATTAGGGTCCCTTTAAAAAATTTAAAAAAAAATTCTTTCTTAATTTTAATTACACATTCTCCAAATAAAATAATATTACACATAAATTTAAAATTTCTCATTATTTTTTAACCACACATTCCCCCATTACTCACTATTTCAAGATTTATAAATTCTCCAAAATGGTGGCCAAACAATGAGTAAATTTCAACTAACAATAATTGGGCCATTTAACTTCAATTAAATGACTATATTTATAAGACTTTTGACGATGTCACATAAGTTGTCGAGATACTAGTTAAAATTAAGGTCATGTTTGATTTGGCTTTCTTTTTCATGAAAGATGGAAATTAAAATCCATTTTCACATTTTTGTATGTTTAATTGACTAAGTTTTCCATGAAATTGGTTTTCCACATTTTCTTGGTTTTTGAATTCTAGGCAATTTTTTTATAATTTTTTTGGCAATAAGAACAAGTTATATCCCCAATTATAATAAATTTTATTCCTTTAATGGACAATTTCCATGAAAAACAAAACCAAATGAACACCAAAAGATCCAAAATTTCAATATTTTTCAGGTGAAAAATTATACAAATCAAATACAATTAATTGACAATTTCTAGTAAAACAAGTTCTAGACAATTCAATTCTTTGGAATTCATTTTCTTTCCACCCAATTACATTCTTGCAATCAAACGAACCCTAACGTTCACATACGTGGCAATTCATATTGAGTTACTCAATTGTATTGATGGTCACTCAATTTTCAACCAACCTAATTAGGTCACTGAATTTCAATTTGCAGCAACCTGATTGAATAAATTTTATTTAATAGCAATCAAAACACTTCGTTTGAGAGCAGTTAGATGGCGTAACGAATTTGATGACATGTCAATTAGAATTAATGAATCTTCTACATTTTAATTCCAAACATCAAGTTCTATTTTTTCATTTCCATTTGAAAATAATAATTGAACGATTTTCACCTTTGAAAAATGCACTAAAACCCAAATATCCATTCTCAAAATTCATTTGACCATTGGAAGAGAAGGAAAGGAAAATCTAGGTTTTCAAAGAAAAAATCTAGGATTTCTTTCATAATTGAAATCAACCTAATTGATGACATATACAAACAACTTCAAGGTATCTACATTGAGAATACTTATTTTCAAAGCATATATATTGAATACTCTGCCATAAAAGCATTTTCAAGAGAATTTTTTATTTTTAAAGAGTATTTTAATCATAAATAGAAAATATATTTAAATTTATTGAGACCATTTCTCCTTCGACAGTTATAACTGACCTTAAATTGACTGAATTGTGCAGGAAGCGAGATCAATATCAAATGTACAAGCAAGTCATCAAACAGCTCGAGCTTTGGTACCTTAAGTTTAGAAGCAATGTGAGACATCTCCATAATGTACTCCCTTATATTTCTTTTGCCTTTATACCTTATTGAAATAAAGCGTTGCAGAAGCGTGCTTGTTTCAGTCTTATTGTTTTTCGCAAAACATTTCCCAATTTCGGGAAGGAAATCCTTGACATTAGTCACTTCTTCAGATACAGCGCCTCTAAAGACTTCCAAAATACCGTGCTTAATGATCATTAGACTCATGCGATTTGAGCGATCTCACTTCTCATAGTTTCCCTTTGCATCTGATGAACTTTCGTCCGTAAGAGGAGTGTGTTGCTCAATCCGAAGCGCAAGATCTAA